CTATCTCCTTCTCCTCCTCTCCCCACCTATCTCCTCCTCCTCCCCCCCTACCTCCTCCTCCTCCTCCTCCTTTCATTTGTTTGCCTCTTCCCCCTTTTCCCTCCCGCTTCCCCCTTCTCACTGCACCCGACGTTTAGGGCCATCCGCGTCCTGGCGGCCCTTCCTGATGAGTGGAGGATACACCTGGCGGGTAGTTGGCATGCGGGCAGGGGGGGGAGACATGAGGTGGGCCGGGATGGAGACAGACACAGATAGATAGGTAGGTATAGGGATGAAGAGAGGGTAAGGAATGAGGAATTTGCATTGGAATCGCCTTCCATCACCTGCTCCATCTTTTCTCCCACTTTCTATCTGTTTATCCATCTATTTCTGCCCCCCTTCCATTCTCTTTCTACTTATTTCCCCGTGCCCCGCCCACACACACGCATTCTTCCTTCCAAATCGCTTCCCAACACTCGGCTGACATATCTTAATTTTGTCGTTTTTAGTTGTGGTTTTTAATATAGTGTTCTCTGTGCACTTATTTTGGTGCTGTTCAGTATGCCATTAAATAGACCATCTCTTTTTGCACTGTCATTCTTCGCGAGTTTACATAGTTGTGCGCGTGATGACTGGTGCGGCGGCCGAAAGCCTCGGGCGAGGGCGTGAGGGCGTGAAGGAGGTGTCTAGTACAGCACTGGGATCGCTCCTTTGTTGCGTTACGCCCCCCTGATCACGCGCCGGATGTGACGTCATGATACCCCCACCCTGCGTTGTACAATAGTCCTACTCTTGCCCCCCCCCCCTTCACCCTCTCCTCTCGCCGGCCTTGCATTCCTCTTCTGGCTCATTGGATAATCATTCTCTTCCCTCATCTATTTCTCCTCGCTTTCCTCTTTCATCGTCCTCCTCGTCCTCTCCTTTCTCTTCCTTTCTCCACCGCCCAGGCCTCCTTCCTCTTTCTCCTAACAGATGAATCCGCCTTGAGTGTGTACAGCTGTTCCCCGAAGCTATAGTTCGTCATACGTGCCACTGAGTGTGTGCGTGTGCGTTTGTGTGTTATTGTATCAGTTCTGCTCCAGGATCTGCATTGTGCGGAGGATCTTCCCGGAATTGCGCCGACATTGTTGCGTTTGTTGTACTGTCTGCCTGACCTCGTCCGTGGCAATTCACTCAGTTTATCCCCCTTATTTTATCACAGTCTCTCTCTCTCTCTCTCTCTCTCTCTCTCTCTCTCTCTCTCTCTCTCTCTCTCTCTCTCTATATATATATATATATATATATATATATATATATATATATATATATATATATATATATATAATCACCCACTCACGGTTTTATTCTCCTCTGACCTGTATAAGCGAGCATCCTGCTCCACTATGGTGGGGCGGAAGCCTTAGAAACCCGCATGGCTATGAGCCACAAGCCGCTCCTCCGCCCATCGCCGAACCGGTCCGGAATCGACATGAGTCCCACAACATTTCAGGCCTTCGTTCCCAGCTTCAGCCGCGCGATGGCTGCCGAGGCCGAACGAGGGGGAGAGAGCGCTCGGTTTGTGCGGGCATGGCTTGTCGAGGTCCCTGGCACGACAAGCCTCGACTGTGCCTGCTCCGCCTTCCTTCGCATGTCTAATTCGGCCCACTCATTTCTAGACTCTTCCGGTGGCTGTATCACGCTTCACGCACACCCAGCCCCACTGCTGCCCATCTCTGCTGAGCCTGGTAGCGCGTCGTGACCTGCCTGTGACTGAGATGTTCTTGATGAAAAGGTCGGCTGCCGATGGCGATTTGCCGCGGCTTCGTGCGAGGGATCGTGGTATCTCGCATCACGGGACTTCCCTCACGACCTCCCCCATTCTCTATCATCCTCCCTCTCCTTCCTCCCTTCCTCCCTTCCTCCCTTCCTCCTTTGCCTGCCAGCCTCTCGCTAGGCTCTAGAAGGCGCCCTCCCGGTTAATACAAACTCAAACTAGGTCTAGGCGAGATCCCGCGAATCCTACGGTACATGTCAGGCGGGTCGAGCCTTTGCCTTGCCCGAGGAGGCCAAGGAGCTCGTGGTGAAGAGAGAGATGGAAGAGAAAGTAACGCACAAACACACTCACTCACTCTCTCTCTCTCTCTCTCTCTCTCTCTCTCTCTCTCTCTCTCTCTCTCTCTCTCTCTCTCTCTCTCTCTCTCTCTCTCTCTCTCTCTCTCTCTCTCCTCTTTCTCTCATATCTGTCTGTCTCACATTTCTCACGTCTTGTACACCTCTCACACAATCACTCAGTCACTCGCTCGCTCAAATACACATGTGTAGGTCATGCAAGCCGTTCTCTTGGGGTCGAGCGGGCGACGCGGGCCAGATCCCACGCCATGACCTGCCAGTGACCTCTGTATCAGAGTAGCCCCACGCGGCCGGGGAGAGGGGGCAGGAGGGGAGAAACGGAGGGAAAAACAGTAAAGGTATGAGAAGGGGAAAAAGATAGATAAGAGGGAGAAAAAGAGAGAAAATGTGAAAGAAAAGGGGTGAGGTGAAGAAACAGGCAAACAGGGAAACATTTTGATAAAGGGGACGGAAAAGGGGAAGAACGGAAGTAAGTGATAGAAATGAAAAAGAAAAAAAATGGGAAAGAAACGGTAGAAGGGAGGAGACAACCAGAGAGAGTAACTGGTTGTATTTAGCGGCGAGCGTGGCAAACAGGAGAAAGCTTTCAAGAGTGCGTGAGGGCGTGTAGGCGGACGAGCGGGTAAGTGGGCAGGGCATGGGGCTCGGTTGTCCAAGTTCACTGCCAGGGTAAAGGTCAGCGCGCCCCGATGGTGCCCTGACCCTCTCCGACCGTACACGCCTCTTCCTTTCACTGGCAAACTCGTGCTTTTATGAAGACACTCTCTCTCTCTCTCTCTCTCTCTCTCTCTCTCTCTCTCTCTCTCTCTCTCTCTCTCTCTCTCTCTCTCTCTCTCTCTCTCTCTCTCTCTCTCTCTCTCTCTCTCTCTCTCTCTCTTTCTCTCTCTTTCTCTCTCTCTTTCTCTTTCTCCCTCTCCCTCTCCCTCTCCCTCGCCCTCCCTCCTTCTCTCTCTCTCTTTCTTTCCTTCTTTCTTTCTTTCTTTCTTTCTTTCTTTCTCCCCCCCTTTCTCTTCCCCTTGTCCCCCTCACGCACACATGCACTCTCTCTTCCACACACAATCTTCCTCCATCTCCTTTCATCCTCTCCTCCAGTTCCCCGTTTATCGAAGGTGTGTTGCTCTCTCTCGTCCCTCCGAGCGCACGTGGCGGCGGGTCAGGACGAGGGCGAGAGTGCCGTCAAAGGTCGAAGGTCACGTTGGGTTACTGACGTCTCCACCCACCCTCTCTTCTCTTTCTCTCTATCTTCTCTTGTTCTCTCTCTTCTCCTCTTCTCTCCTCTCTCTTGCTCCCCTCGTCTCTTTGTCTCCACCCTCTCTCCCCTCCATCATTGCACTTCCCTCTGACTCCACCGTTTATTTCTGTCTCTTGACTTTTGGTTTCGTTCTTCCGTATTTGCAAAGCTATTTTTGCAGCAGGTTTGCAGTGGAACCCACACGCCTTAGCAGACAGTCACACACACGTACATGCCAATGCATACGTACATAGGTAAAAGGCCCCATATTGAGGTCATGATATATGGTGCTGATCCAGCTGCAAGCGAGCCTAATTTAGGACTCTTTTGAGGTCCGCAGAACACACGCAGAGCGATAAGGATATCCTGCGGGAAGCCGGGTGACCTCACCTGTTTTGGTGGGACCTCGTGACCCTGGCAAGGTCACCTGGCCGATGGAAGGGATAGGGAATAAGGAGAAAGTGTGGAAGAAGGAAGAAGAGAGAGAGGGGAAACTAGGAAGGAGGAGAGATGATGGAGTATGGGAAGAAAGAGACAGACAGGGAAAATGAAAATGTCTTCGTATTCATTTGAGAATGAAGGTCTTGGTCATTGATTATAGTGACCCAAGTTGACCTGGTTTCTCGACTGTCACCTCGCCCGGTCGGTTCCTCCGTGGGCTGACCTGGCCACAAAGGAGGTAATTATACCCCCTTGTGGTCCCGGAGAATACCCGGGCGATACCCACACCCGGCCGTCGCTCCCTCGGCCATGATATGCCGGGAATCGGTTTGGGCATTTCTCTCGCCTCCCAACGGCCGTTGTCGGTGTTTCTTGCTCTGCTCCTTTTAGCGCATTCTTCTCACTTGTTCTCTCAATCGGGCAGTCTCCACCAGTAACCTTGCGTGTTTGTTTTATTGTATTTTAAGGTGGTATTATTAACTGATAATTAATGAGATAAAAGTGAAATCGGGGACCGCGCAGCGCCGGCGAGGGAAGGGTGAAGCTCTCGTAGCAGCAGAGACCGGTTTTCTTGCAAGTCTTAAAAAATAAAATAAAAAATAGGCGTAATTTTTCCCTCCAGTTTGTATCTGGTTGGGGGTGTGGTGGCGGCGGTGGCGTCATGGTGGGCGGGGAGATGGGGGCAGATACCTCGGGCATCACGCTGGGGCATGATTTCCCCCTCGCCCCCTCCTCCCTCCTCCTCCCCTAGTCTCATGCCCTTCCCTCATGCCCGGTCATCGCCGCCGCTAGTCCTAGTCGTCGTCCTCTTCCTCTTCCTTCTACTCCACCACCACCACCTCCGTTTTAGAGATACGTGGTGTTTTAATTTATTTTGTGTTTTAATTTATCGTTTGGTTATTTGCGTATTAATGGAGGAAGCACTGTGAAACGTGGGATTTTGGTTGGGCTGTGAGGGCGGCCGCCTATTTCTTGAGCCTTGTTCACGGGTGGATGTCGTTCATTTTGTAGCAATCGGAAGAATATTTATCTTTTCGTGAAAGTCTTCATATATAGGATGACCTTGAGAGAATTGATATTGTTGATGTTGCTATTTATGATGACTGACGTTTTATGTATCAATCATATCATGGTTATCGCCAGCCACCACAGCGAGTGGGCCTCAGCACTCCCGCCCCATACGCTCATCGACGATTCTCTTCACAAAGCCCATGTTTCTAACGCCCCTTCTCTTCCCCAGGGCGTGAACCAGGACAAGCTCGGGATCTACATCAAGAGCGTGGTGCCGGGCGGAGCCGCAGACCAGGTGAGTGTCCTACAACTTTTCTGTATGGATGAAGGAGAAAAAAGATCATCGCTTATTAAGAGAACTGTATTGTAACCCAAGCCGACCTTGGCCTGCATTTTGCAACTTTATTCTTTGATGCCAAATAGGAATTCAATCCAGCTTGATTTGGAGAACATAGCACTCAGTGAAGATTAGATTGGGAACATTTACAGGGCATTTGAAGGCTTCGTACTAAGAAATCGGTTGTATTTTTATTGAATTTACTGATTAACTTTAAAACCTTTTTACGGATGACCATCAAGAAAAAATGATGCAGAAGTGGAAAAGTAGAGGAAGAATTCAGTCCATACTAACTGGGAACTTATTTGTATTGTATTATAAAAAAATCATAGAAGAATTGTGATTGATGTCTTGATGACTGCTCAGAAGATAGTGAAAGCTTTTGTTATTACTGTTGCTGCCGCCGGTGTGCTGCAGAGAAAGCAAAAGCCTTTTATTTGAAAGCAAAGGCCGTGCGCGGGCGATTCGATTCGATTCCGTTTCTTCTGCCCGCCCATGGACCTACGTGCAGGGGCTTC